CTGCTTTGAAAACAATATTTTTTCAATCCAACGGTTTAAGGGATGATAATATTTGTTTTCCTTCAAATTATACGTTAGATACAACATTGTAATTAACAAAAACCGTATTTTTAGAAACAAATCCAATAAAGAAAACTGATCATTGTTTGTTAACCCGAAAAATAGGAACATTAAGGGGTTAATAACATTCTTGAATATTATTATCTTCATAATTTTCCATGCATCCAAAAAAAATCACAAAAAAAACGCTTTAGTTTAGGTTTTTACAATGGTCTTACTTTAATGGCCTCACGTATCACACGAAAACCGTTTTCCGTCGCCATTGTTATTGTAGACCAAATTGAGATACACGAAGATGCTAGGAATTGTAAATGTAACCTCAAAAAACGTAATAAGTTGAATGACAGTGGCCAACGTCTGCTGGATCGCAAAGTCACGTATACGTGACAGCGGCCATTGAAGAGTTAGAGCGTATCGAGGGACGAGATTGTAGTAAATACCAAACCGGAAGAATTTAATTCGTCACTTGGCCTGTCGATTGTTTTTGCGCAGTCGCTCGATCGGTATACACAAGAGTAACCTGTTGCAAGAACTCGTAGAGTGAGAGGGAAGCTGTGATACGCGAATGTCGTTCTCCATGTATACATACATACATACATACGTATACGAACGCTCACTCGAAATAGCTTACTGGACCACAACAAGACCAGATGGACAAGCTACACTCTTCAGAAATTGTTCCTTCAGTTGGGGAGCAAACGATGCATATGTATTAAATGATAACACTATATTTGAGATATTCTGTACGTTTCAAAGTTATAATCTAGGTCTGACCTAGACCAATAAGCTACATTCTTCAAAAGTTATTACTAGACTGCGGATCTTTATGCAAATTCACATTTTTATTAATAGAATTAATGAAATCAGAGCTTTCTAGAGCTCTGTCTCAATCCCTAAATATAATAATTCGTATCTTACTTTAAGTATTTCTTATATTTTTGCATATTAAATGCAGTCTGTAGTTTTTTGAGGATTAAAATTTCCCAGAACTGCATAAACATCCGCAGTCTAGTTATTACTAATCCAGGCCTAATGCTGATCAATAAGCTACGCTCTTCAGAAATTGTTTCTTTTGTTGGGGAGCAAACGATGCATACTTATTAAATAATAACACTATACTTGAGATATTCTGTACGTTTCAAAGTTTTAATCTAGATCTGACCTAGACCAGTAAGCTACATTCTTCAAAAATTATTACTAATCCAGACCTAACCCTGACCAATAAGCTACACTCTTCAGAAATTGTTCCTTTAGTTACGGAGCAAATGATGCATACGTATTAAATAATAACATTATATTTAAGATATTCCGTACACTTGAAAATCCTAATCCAGACCTAACCCAGACCAATACGCTACATTCTTCAAAAATTATTACTTGGGGAGCAAATGATGCATACGTATTAAATGATAACACTATATTTGAGATATTCTGTACGTTTCAAAGTTTTAATCTAGATCTGACCTAGACCAATAAGCTACATTCTTCAAAAATTATTACTAATCCAGGCCTAACCCTGACCAATAAGCTACACTCTTCAGAAATTATTACTAATCCAGACCTAACCCAGACCAATACTCTACATTCTTCAAAAATTACTACTTGGGGAGCAAATGATGCATACGTATTAAATGATAACACTATATTTGAGATATTCTGTACATTTCAAAGTCCTAATTTAGATCTGAACTAGACCAGTAAGCTACATTCTTCAAAAATTATTACTAATCCAGACCTAACCCTGACCAATAAGCTACACTCTTCAGAAATTACTCCTTTGCTTGGGGAGCAAGCGATGTATACTGTTAGGGAATAATCTTCCTATAAGTTGGCAACGGTGTGTATGTATGTATGGATGCACGTATGGTAAAAGAGTAGATGAGGTAGAGGAGCTGAAAGAGGCGTAAAACGTAGAAGTAATGTAGAAGTAAAAGTGGTAAAAGAGTATTAACACTTTGACTGCCACGTCACCCATACATGGGTGACAGGATTTATCATTATGATGTTAGGAAAATTAATTCTCAAGTTAAGGTGTTGAGAAAAATAAATTTGGATAAACATTGTCAATTATAACAAGATTACGAAAATAAATACCAAAACAAATTTTAGGTTATGTAGCTTACAATGGTACAAAATCAAAATTTTACTTTTGCAAAATATTATACGGTTTTGGTCTGGCAGTGAACGTGTTAAAAGAATCCAACCTAGAAGAAGAATGTTACTTGAAATTGTTTATTTGTTAACCACGTTTATTGAATTTAATAAGGTATTACTTATGTTAAAAGTAATATTGGAATCTGAAATTTATTAGAACCACGTGCTAGCGCAACACATACTAATAATAGCATTATACTCGGGATATTCTGTAAATTTAACATTTCTTTGCATTTAAATCCTGATTATTCGAAGCTTGGCGAAACGTTGGAATGTTGAGTGCGAGCTGAACGCTATAACAGTGATTTGTTTACGTTTGAGACTCGTCTCTGGCCGAGTAAACGCGTAACGTCGCCTAACAGCGAGCTCGAACGCGTTAAAATTGCTATTGCGTCGCAATATTCAAAGTATTCCTTTCATTAGAAACATTCAATTCGTACTATTTCCAACGTCATTTATTATTATTTTTCATTAACGGGAATAAACCCTTAATAGAAAAGATGTGATATCTAACAAACTACAAATGTGGATTTTACATAGTCAAACACTATAATTTATAAAATTATAAAATATCAAAGTGTTAAAATTCATTTATTTTAAATGTTTTAAGGATCCCCAGGAATCAAGTGTCGGTCACCGGTGACCACCATGTCAGGAAACAAATTCATTTATTTTAAATGTTTTAAGAATCCTCAGGCATCATGTGCCGGTCACCGGTGACCACCATGTCAGTAAACAAATTTATTTATTTTAAATGTTTTAAGGATCCCCAGGCATGAAGTGTCGGTCACCGGTGACCACCATGTCAGGAAACAAATTCATTTATTTTAAATGTTTTAAGAATCCTCAGGCATCATGTGCCGGTCACCGGTGACCACCATGTCAGTAAACGTTTCCATCGAAGGTGGAAAGGTGAAAGGGGAGACTGACGACGTACTGCGTCGCAGGAGCCAACCATAGTTGAACAGAGTATCGCTTCTACCGAGACTGATCCAACAATGCTTTTTATCCCCCATAGGTACAACACTTTTACCCACCATAAACCGCTTCTACACGCGTAATTAAACATTAATAAAACCGATTTAAATCTCGAATGCACAGTTACGAGGGACCCAAACATCAAACGACTTTTGCTATGTAAACAAACGAATACTTTCGGTCGGTTTATCGCGTTCGAATGTTTCCAGAAAATATCGAACTGTTGCGTCGATTGTTTACCACCATTTCTGCAAATGTAAACACGATTTCAAGTCAGAGATTACTGGAAAAGCGAGGTAACGTGTAACCCCAGAAAGAAAATTGCGAAACAAATTTAAACAAAACAATTTTAACTATAATTATAATTATAGTTATAATATATCAAAGTATAATCTAAGATAATGTATTATGAAACAAATTTGAACAAAACAATTTTAACTATTATTATAATTATAACTACAATTTTAACTATAATTATAATTATAACTACAATTTTAACTATAATTATACTTATAACTACAATTTTAACTATAATTGTAATTACAACTATAATTTTAACTATTATTATTATTCAAGTATAATCCAAGAAAAAGAATTATGAAATAAATTTGAACAAAACAATTTTAACTATAATTAGTTATAATATATTTAAGTATAATCCAAGAAAAAGAATTATGAAACTTTGACCAAAACAATTTTAACTATAATTATAATTATAACTATAATTTTAACTATAATTGTTATCCAAGTATAATCGAAGAAAAAGAATTCTGAAACAAATTTAAACAAAGCAATTTTAACTATAATTATAATTCTAACTATAATTGTTATCCAAGTATAATCGAAGAAAAAGAATTCTGAAACAAATTTGAACAAAGCAATTTTAACTATAATTATCGAAGTTCAATCCAAGAAAAGGATTTATGAAACTTTGACCAAAACAATTTGAACTACAATTATAATTCTAACTATAATTTTAACTATAATTATATTTTAACTAAAATTATTATCCAAATATAATCCAAGAAAAAGAATTCTGAAACAAATTTGACCAAAACAATTGTAACTACAATTATAATTACAACTATAATTCTAACTATAATTATATTTTAACTAAAATTATTATCCAAATATAATCCAAGAAAAAGAATTCTGAAACAAATTTGACCAAAACAATTGTAACTACAATTATAATTATAACTACAATTTTAAGTATAATTATATTTTAACTAAAATTATTATCCAAGTAGAATCCAAGAAAAAGAATTCTGAAGCAAATTTGAACAAAACAATTATAATTATAGTTAAAATTGTTTTGTTCAAATTTGTTCCATAATTCTTTTTCTCGAATTATACGTTAACTCGTTTTTCCAAGTGACCTCTAACTCAAAATCGTGTTTATATTTGCGGAAATGGTGGTAAAAAATCGACGCAACAATTTGATATTTCCCGACAAATTTTCTACTATAATTATAATTATAGTTAAAATTCTATCAACCGATATACTTATTCCTTTCTCAACAATTTTAAAATGGTTTGAAGCCTATCAAACAGCACCATTAAACAAGACCACCATGGCAGTCAACAACAAGGAACGAACGGAACGAAATTACACTCTCAAATGTATATCACCGGAGCAGATATATTGAAAATAATTCGGGCGTTAACAGGTTGATCGCAGTGTTTGGAGCGTAAAACGACCGGTATTGCATAATCCCTTCCGTCTATATTTATCTATATTCAACTCTATATTTTATGAACGTACGATCTATGTCTATATTTAACGAAACGAGTGAATTCCGACTTACCTGATTCTTCGTCGAGGTACGGACTAGTCAGAAATGGTTAACCACCGGCGTCGACGGTTCACGCCATGGGAGTCCCTCGTCGAGATACTTGGCACTCGCGATCTATAAACACCGACCGGGGGAACCGATATTTCCTCCTTTCTCGGTCGAAGCCTATTTCCAGACTAACCGGTCCACCGGATCGTTACATTTTCGCGGGCGAAAACGGTCCTCCGGCGATCCTTCCGCGCGTGTAGCGTCCTCCCTTTATTTGGATCCGTGCGTCGGGTGAGTTTGCCCGGGCCGTACCGGACGCGTTACGGTGGCCGCTCTATTCCCTTTGTGTCTCTCTATCGGTACGCCGTGGACGTGGACGTGGACGGGGACGTGGACACGCACACTCCAACACGGAAGCTCGTCGACGAGTAAAAGCCCGAGCGCAGCGGCGACCGAGCCAGGACGCGCCTTTCGCAACCACCGCGCAAGCTCAGACTATTGCGCGAGGAACCCGGTCTCCGTAGCCGTAAGGGTCGTCTCCGCTCGGCCAAGTTCGGACGCCAATGGTGAACGCGACTCGTCAACCGTAAGTGGGGAGGAGCGCCCAGAGCTCTCTATCTTTACATGCATCTAACACAGTCCAAGGAAGACTATACGGTTCTGCGTAACGTTTTTCCAAGAACTATGGAAACTCGACCGTCTTCGGTCATCCTCGGCCCAAGCTGCCGATTCAAACGCCGGGGATTGATTAATTCGGAAGGGCAACTAACGGCGGAGCCAAATGCTTCGTATCATGCTCCAAATGTTATTCTGCAAATTATGGTCTTGGTCATCTTGATTGTAAATCGCTAGTGAGCACCCTCGACCAATGGACACGCTCGGGTAAAAACGGCTCCCTGTAGCTGATCTTCCATGTTATAATGTCAAACGATAATTGGATCTAGGAACCATAAAACAAGGAGTTGTGGTTAAAAGTTTCGTACCTGAGCTTCGAAATATATCTTACTATAAAAGTCCAAAGATTGGTAAATCCCATCCACCAGTTAATCCTAGCAAAAGCAAAAGAATAAATATCTTTAAGATTCGGGATATCAATCATTCGACTTAAAAATATTCCAACGTCCAAATATTTAAATAGCTGTAGCCATGTATTTACCGTACACGGTTGGTTTTATAAATGTACTATTGCGTTGCAACAGGTGGTATGACGGATGCGCAGATCGTGATGTATCTTGTTTCCTTGCGCACGAGGGACGTTTTCATAGAGCCTTGCGCATGTTATTAGGTTGTTGCACGTGAAATAACTGTATCTCCGATCTAACAAACTTCATCTTATGTAAAATTCAAATTGAGACCTGGTCTATTTGTTCTAAAATTTGAAAATTAACACAACTTATCATTTACTGATGCTAATGAGATAAGCAGAGGTTAAAGTATTTACTGAATCTATATGTTTTAATCCTTCCAACAAATCTTTTAAAAATGTTCTGTTGAATGTTTTATTCATCGTGTGACGATTCCAAGGCCGCCATTTTTTAGAACAGACTACGCGCGCCATCTCGAGTACTGTTTCTAGTCTTGGACGTTCTTCTTAACCTATTGACTGTAAATTTAGAGCGCCTTGCCCTGAGAGCCAAGATTTTATTTTAAACATGAAATTTTCCAAAATAATACTAAGTCATAAATTTAGTATTGAAATGGCATTTACAGTAATTTTTATTGAAAAAAAAAAAACACTACATCTTGTAGTTGGCAGTCAATGGATTAATCGATAGAACCACCCACTGGATAAACGAAAAATTCTATATAAATATTATATAAAATCTAAAAATGAAATTTTACACATACTTTTATCTCAGCATTAAGATTTGAACATTCATGGCTTCCGAATAAGAAGAATTCAATTTAAAATATTTAATTTATATAATTTCTTATTCGGATGGTTGGCGATTAACGTACAAGTCTGGACCTATAAATTCAACATTTATATTTTTTACAAATATTAAAAGTATGTACAAAATATTACATGTGTATGTAAAACGAAATTTACAAGATATCCACAGAATAATACACAAACATCGCCGTAACCTAAATTTAAGATCGCAGTTCGGTGATGTAACTTCAAGCGAGGCTGCATCTACAAAACAATAATCATAGATTGTACAACCGTCAAACGCAGACAGATTCGTAGCATTGATCTAGAGGTTAAAGTCAATTAAAAGAGAAGAAACGAATAAGACAAAAAAGATCCTATTCCTGTGAAACAATTGTACATTACATACATATAATATGCATAGAACATCATTCCGTTAAACTCCTCACTGATTCAGAATAAAGAACTATCGATATGCCCAGATAATTTCGTTTCTAATTTTTTTAATACGTCCCTCAACGAAGAAACGGTTTTCTGTAGACGTTTCACTTTTTGTTTTAAAACTTTATTGGATTTGCACGTATTATGCAGCGTTTCGTGTATAAAACGTATTTTCCTTTTGTAAGTCTGAGGCGTTTGACTATAGTTATGATCGCTCCTGATTATGTCTGTAAAATATGTGTATTTGTAATCTTACCGTTCGCTGTACTTACCATCCCAGTCTATATATATTCTAGAAAATCTATCGATTTCAAAATGATACAATCTTATTAGGTAAATGAGAAAAAGATATATACTTTCTGTACGATTATGAATTGTGTGAGATTCGCTGTTCGTTTCAATAGCAGATCCACCTTTGCACCGATGTGTGATATCGTCTTCGCTCATCGTTTCTGGTATATGTATTTGGAAACCTTTAAATTTTAAGATCGTAACAATTATCGAATAAAAAATTTCAGGAAGACGTTATAAACGCCGAGTACAATTTGAGTATATATACTTTCTGTAGGGTTATGGAAGTCGTAAGATTCCACGATTACTTCGGACGAAGATGCTGCTTCGATAACATTTTCATCTACAAGAGCCAAACGTAAAAGGTAATTAACATTATATTCGTCATATTTTAGTATAATTAAAACTGTCAACACGTTACCTGATAAAGGTTCATCTACGCCAGATGTACAGTTTTCTTCCATGAACAGAGTCGGCAAGCTACCTTTTTTCAGCCTAACATGATTGAATTTTTGTTCCAAACACTTTGGCGCAAAGTGTCTCGAACACAGTACAGAGCCAGCCTTAGGCATGTAATCTTTCCTGCCGATGTTTGCAAGCCACTGATGCAACTCGTTCGAATCTTTTGGAAACCTAAATAACAACTTTCGATTTTAAAACATAACCTGTACAAGACTACACGTCGATGATAACCTTCCTACTACAAACTCGATATAAATGGTTTAATCGATACTCGATGTAAATGGTTTGATCGATACTTACTTGTGAAGCGATACTCCTTGTACAGGCTTTTCCCTTTTACAAATTTCACACCTAACCATATCTCTGTCGTTCGCGAGGCAACAAATCACAAGAGTATCTTAAATCACTCTGTTTCGTTGCACCGAGCTTACAACGCGTGGATTCTGTGATACATGACTTGTTCCAAAATAATATAACGAAAAAATTCAAAGTCCAAACAAATTGTTTTTAACGAACTCCGAACCATTTTGACACACTTTGACGGAGAGAGTCATTAATGCTTACTGACTGCGCAACACAGATGCGCAGAACCACCAATCCGCCACACTGCCATTAGTCGTCTCAATTTCGATATATTTCGATATGTTTTCGAGTTATTTTTAAACAATTTTCTACAACGGTCAAATAAAAACAGATACGAAACCTGTTTTTAATATTTAAAAGTACAATTTTGTTATATGTATCAGCAAAAATTGCGTCATATCTAGAAACACTAAAATTGTTAATAATAACAACCCTGTAGACTTTTCTACGTTTGCCAGCTTTATCGATTTCAATAGTTCAATCGACCACTGGTTTTTAAATCGTATGCCGGTTGACGCAAGTCGTATTTTATCTGTTTCGAGAGCGAGAAGGAAAGACTCACATTCGCGCTCTCTCTTCGATTCCCGAAGTTACCCGAAGCTCTCCGACTCACGTACGCGTGGCTGCGCAGTAGGGTGTGTAAGTGGAGGGGCAGTGGACAGCTGGACAGCAGTGTGACGGGAACAGCCGTTTGGTACGTTGTGGATGTACGTCGACAGTTGTTGATTCCGTCGCCCTATTCACACATGAATGCTTTAGACGAAATAATAATTGCAATTAACATTTACATGACAAATTATAAATTGTTGAAAACAATAGGAATGAAAATATGAACAATGCAACAAAATTTTTAATATTTTGATAAATCAAATTGCTTGAATATTTACCAACTAGTCTTCTGCTATGGTTAAATAGCTAGTCCCTTGGCAATATTTAAGGATACTTTTCGTACAGATTTTCTTCGTAATTAAATAGTTATTAGCAAGTATATATTTACGACGTTATTAAAATTATTTTCCACATTAATTTATGCGTTATAATTTTTTTATACAACTACAAATCACATCCAAACGTATCAGCGACTACTGGCTGTGTATTTTATGCGATGCTTTCAGGGTTCACGCATGCAAGGTGTGTTACTATAAAAAGTATGTGAACCGTGCAAGGGCTAGGCACTGGCACACCCACGATAAGCAAAATCTAAACCAAACGATTCGGTTAAATTCCATTATATTATATTATCGATTTCTGTAGAGAATCGGTTCTTACAGATTTTTTAAATGTATTCTGACCATGTATTATTTGTAGTCTACTGCGTATTAGTTGAACAATTCAATTAAAATAAAAAATAGATAAAATTTAGCGGAAAATCAAATTCTATTATAATAGAAAATCTATTAAAATTTATCGTTGCTTATATTTGATTAATAAAAATGTTTACATTTTAATTTCCATTTTCTAAATATATTCTGACCATTTATTATTTGTATTCTACTATGTATTAGTTGAAAAATTCAATTAAAATAAGAAATAGATAAAATTTAGAAGAAAATCAAATTCTATTATAATAGATAATCTATTCAAATTTGTTGTTGCCTATATTTGATTAATAAAAATGTTTAAATTTTAATTTCCATATTTTGAATATATTCTGACCATCTATTATTTGTATTCTACTATGTATTAGTTGAAAAATTCAATTAAAATAAGAAATAGATAAAATTTAGAAGAAAATCAAATTTTATTCTAATAGAAAATCTATTAAAATTTATCGTTGCCTATATTTGATTAATAAAATTGTCTAAATTTTAATTTCCATTTTTCAAATATATTCTCACCATTTGCACTCTACTCTGTGTTAGTTGAACAATTAAATTAAAATAAAAAATAGATCAAATTCATCAGAAAATCAAATTCTATTCTAATAAAAAATCTATTCAAATTTAAACATTTTTATTAATCAAACATAGCCATAGATATTTATATGCATATTTTTTTATATATTTTTTTTTATGTGTGTATGGTAGTTACATGTATTATTTAGTCTAGAGTGCGATTTGTTTTCCTGGAATAGTAAACGTACCATTGGATAGAACGTCTGGAAATAATTTTTTCCTGCAAATACATCGGTAGGTACAGGATTGGACTAATGCAAGGACTCGTCGACGAGATCAATAAGCACCGTAAGCGGACCCTTCTTCGCAAGGCTTTTATGCTTTCTTATAAGCAGCCTTCCACACCGACTATAGTATACATTCGTTCTATCCGTCCTTATACAGGGTGTTCGTCCACCTCTGAGAAAAATTTCAATGGGAGATTCTAGAAGCCAAAATAAAACGAAAATCAAGAATACCAATTTATTGATGGAGGCTTCGTTAAAAAGTTATTAACAATTAAATTCAAAAATTACAAATCGTTCTGGAAAAATTATTTTCGGTTGCGGGGGTCAATTACAATTATTTTTGATCATTACACATACCCTTGAAATCCTACGCACTTTTTTGACAAAAATTCGAGAAGGTGTGAAATTTTCCAACGGAAAAAAAAATTTCAAATCGTTTTGGAAAAATTATTTTCGGTTGCGGGGGTCAATTACAATCATTTTCGGTCATTACACATACCCTCGAAATCCTACGCACTTTCGAGAAAAAAATTCCTTACCAAAAATCTAATTAAGTGCCTAAATTTTTCGACGCAAAAAAATATTTCAAATCTTTCTGGAAAAATTATTTTCGGTTGTGGGGGTCAATTACAAGCATTTTTGGTGAATAGACATACTCTGAATTCCTACCCATTTTCGAGAAAAAAAATTCTTTACCAAAAATCTATTGTGAGACCAGAAAAATCCCCTAAAACTAGTCCAATTTTCAAACGGCCATAACTCTTGCAATAATAAAGGTAGCTTATTGAAATTTTCTTCTGAAACAGAGCCCATGAGTACCTACAAAAGAGTATTAAACAACTTTTCTATAGAGGGTCAAACAAATTTATTAAAAATGAAAAACAAATTAAGAAAAATCAACAGGGGGTAGTCCCCTTTTCCAGCGAAAAAAAAAATTTCAAATCTTTCTGGAAAAATTATTTTCGGTCGCGGGGGTTAATTACAATCATTTTTGGTGAATAGACATACCCCCGAAATTTTGCGCATTTTCGAGAAAAAAATTCAGTACGGGCGGAACTTTAAACGTTAATAACTTTTTAACGAAGCCTCCATCAACAAATTGATATTCTTGATTTTCGTCTTATTTTGGCCTCTAGAATCCCCCATTAAAATTTTTCCCAGGGGTGAACACCCTGTCCAGGTGTTTTCTTTAGCAAGGGTTGCTTCTGTACACACACAAGCTGTAACTGTAAATATTTTAATTCTAAATTAAAGTTTATTTAAAAAATTTAACCTCTTCAGGGACTATTTATTATTGACAGTATTATAAAAAAAAAAAAAAACTTAACGTCCACATATGTGGCCAAGGGCGTGAAGAGGTTAGGTATCATTTTGTATTTAGAACAAATTTATGTTCATTCTCGAATGAAAAGTACACAAATGAACAATGAACAATTACTTTCAACATCGATCGATCGTTAGTATTGTTCTTTGCAACGATCTTTCTAGCTTCAATTTTTCATTCGAAACAGTTCGAAATGTTTTAGGCGTTCAAGCATTTAAATTTTAGACTGGAATCTGGTTCGAAATTTATTAAAAGTATTACATGTAAATGAAAATATTGGCTCCAGTTAAAAAAAAAAAATGGAAACTAAATATTTTCTAAAATCTAAACTAGGATCACTTTTGCCAGTGTTTTATATCTGACCAGGTTTTACTAGATCCACAATTTTAGCAGTCCATTGCCGGAAACCAAACGTAAACAACACTAAGCAGACTTAAACGTGTTTTATATTGAATATTTTTCAGCAGGATTTGATTCCAACGAATAAGAAACGTTGTAGTTTTGGAACGAGTTTCAATAATTTGCACTTTGATACTATTATCTAGTTAGAGATACATACTACTTTGACTTGTTTTATGAACTTGTGGATACGATGCAGATAACTATTTGTTATTGGTAAGTATCCAAAGAGTTTTGTGTTCGAATTAGACTGTTTTATACAATAGAGATTCGAAACATAAACAAAAGAAAAATATAATCAACTTGTTGTAACAAATCAATCTTTTTAAAAAAAATTTAATTTATCTATGGATTCTGAAAATCTAAAAACTAAATAATAAGATATTTCCAATAACGAAGTAACTAAAAAAATAAAGATTCGAAGCATAAACAACAAAAGGAATATAATCAACTTGTAACAACTTAATCTTTGTTAAAAAAAACTATAATTTTTCTATGGATTTTGAGAATTCTTAATTCAGAGATTTTTAAATAAATAACTAAAAAATTAGAGATTTGAAGCATAAACAACAAAAGAAATATAATCAACTTGTTGTAATAAATCAATCTCTTTAAAAACAATTATAAATTATCTATGGATTCTGAGAGTCGATTTTAAATAAATAACTAAAAAATTAAAGATTCGAAGCATAAACAAAAGAAAAATATAATCGATTTGTAACAAATCAATCTCTTTAAAAAAAATTTAATTTATCTATGGATTCTGAGGGTCGATTTTAAATAAATAACTAAACAATTAGAGATTCGAAGCATAAACAACAAAAGAAATATAATCAACTTGTTGTAACAAATGAATCTCTTTGAAAAAAATTATAATTTATCTATGAATTCTGAAAATCTAAAAACTAAATAATAAAATATTTCCAATAACGAAGTAACTAAAAAAATAAAGATTCGAAGCATAAACAACAAAAGGAATATAATCAACTTGTAACAACTTAATCTTTGTTAAAAAGAACTATAATTTTTCTATGGATTTTGAGAATTCTTAATTCAGAGATTTTTAAATTAATAACTAAAAAATTAGAGATTTGAAGCATAAACAACAAAAGAAATATAATCAACTTGTTGTAACAAATGAATCTCTTTAAAAAAAATTATAAATTATCTATGGATTCTGAGAGTCGATTTTAAATAAATAACTAAAAAATTAAAGATTCGAAGCATAAACAAAAGAAAAATATAATCGATTTGTAACAAATCAATCTCTTTAAAAAAAATTTAATTTATCTATGGATTCTGAGGGTCGATTTTAAATAAATAACTAAACAATTAGAGATTCGAAGCATAAATAGCAAAAGCAATATAATCAACTTGTTGTAACAAATGAATCTCTTTGAAAAAAATTATAATTCATCTATGGATTCTGAAAATCAAAAAACTAAATAATAAAATATTTCCAATAACGAAGTAACTAAAAAAATAAAGATTCGAAGCATAAACAACAAAAGGAATATAATCAACTTGTAACAACTTAATCTTTGTTAAAAAGAACTATAATTTTTCTATGGATTTTGAGAATTCTTAATTCAGAGATTTTTAAATTAATAACTAAAAAATTAGAGATTTGAAGCATAAACAACAAAAGAAATATAATCAACTTGTTGTAATAAATCAATCTCTTTAAAAACAATTATAATTTATCTATGAATTCTGAAAATCAAAAAACTAAATAATAAAATATTTCCAATAACGAAGTAACTAAAAAAATAAAGATTCGAAGCATAAACAACAAAAGGAATATAATCAACTTGTAACAACTTAATCTTTGTTAAAAAGAACTATAATTTTTCTATGGATTTTGAGAATTCTTAATTCAGAGATTTTTAAATAAATAACTAAAAAATTAGAGATTTGAAGCATAAACAACAAACGGAATATAATCAACTTGTTGTAACAAATGAATCTCTTTAAAAACAATTATAAATTATCTATGGATTCTGAGAGTCGATTTTAAATAAATAACTAAAAAATTAAAGATTCGAAGCATAAACAAAAGAAAAATATAATCGATTTGTAACAAATCAATCTCTTTAAAAAAAATTTAATTTATCTATGGATTCTGAGGGTCGATTTTAAATAAATAACTAAACAATTAGAGATTCGAAGCATAAATAGCAAAAGCAATATAATCAACTTGTTGTAACAAATGAATCTCTTTGAAAAAAATTATAATTCATCTATGGATTCTGAAAATCTAGAAACTAAATAATAAAATATTTCCAATAACGAAGTAACTAAAAAATAAAGATTCGAAGCATAAACAACAAAAGGAATATAATCAACTTGTAACAACTTAATCTTTGTTAAAAAGAACTATAATTTTTCTATGGATTTTGAGAATTCTTAATTCAGAGATTTTTAAATTAATAACTAAAAAATTAGAGATTTGAAGCATAAACAACAAAAGAAATATAATCAACTTGTTGTAACAAATGAATCTCTTTAAAAAAAATTATAAATTATCTATGGATTCTGAGAGTCGATTTTAAATAAATAACTAAAAAATTAAAGATTCGAAGCATAAACAAAAGAAAAATATAATCGATTTGTAACAAATCAATCTCTTTAAAAAAAATTTAATTTATCTATGGATTCTGAGGGTCGATTTTAAATAAATAACTAAACAATTAGAGATTCGAAGCATAAATAGCAAAAGCAATATAATCAACTTGTTGTAACAAATGAATCTCTTTGAAAAAAATTATAATTCATCTATGGATTCTGAAAATCAAAAAACTAAATAATAAAATATTTCCAATAACGAAGTAACTAAAAAAATAAAGATTCGAAGCATAAACAACAAAAGGAATATAATCAACTTGTAACAACTTAATCTTTGTTAAAAAGAACTATAATTTTTCTATGGATTTTGAGAATTCTTAATTCAGAGATTTTTAAATTAATAACTAAAAAATTAGAGATTTGAAGCATAAACAACAAAAGAAATATAATCAACTTGTTGTAACAAATGAATCTCTTTAAAAAAAATTATAAATTATCTATGGATTCTGAGAGTCGATTTTAAATAAATAACTAAAAAATTAAAGATTCGAAGCATAAACAAAAGAAAAATATAATCGATTTGTAACAAATCAATCTCTTTAAAAAAAATTTAATTTATCTATGGATTCTGAGGGTCGATTTTAAATAAATAACTAAACAATTAGAGATTCGAAGCATAAATAGCAAAAGCAATATAATCAACTTGTTGTAACAAATGAATCTCTTTGAAAAAAATTATAAATTATCTATGGATTCTGTAAATCTCAAAACTAAATAATAAAATATTTCTAATAACGAAATAACTAAAAAATTAAAGATTCAAAGCATAAACAAAACAAAAATATAATCAACTTGTAACAAATCAATCTTTTTAAAAAAAATTATAATTTATCTACGGATTCTAAAAATCAAATACCTAAACAATAAAATATTTTTAACAACGAAATAACTAAAAAATAAAAGATTCGAAGCGGGTTCCAAGCATTTCAGAGCTACTTGTTAGGTGTAGTAGCAGCGCTATAGGACGATGGAGGTGTCCAACGCTTTTCTCAGCCCTCGGTCGACAGTTGCACGCAGTCCGTAGTCTTTGACGGGTCGCTCGTCGTCGAATCCGGCATATACTATACGCATCCACACTTCACACAATTTCGTCAGTGTTTTATAAACAATGGAAAAGTTTCTCAGTGCTTGAACAATATCCCTGGACACTTAAATTATCACGTGTATAAACATGTGTATCCGTGACTCCTTTAACAAGTTTCCAGTCGTTTTACAGTGTACCTGAAACATTTAAAAAGTGATTAGAATTTTATCTGGATTTTTAACCGTGAATCGTTTGTGCAGTAAATAAATTAATGGTAAGATTGTTAATATTATCGTCCACGCGTACAATATTTTGATCATTTTTAATCGACCTAACTGCGCCGTAGAAGATGCACATTCTTAGTTGCATAAAAAAAAGTATATATCTGTACATTATGTACAGATAACTATGATAACTCCGTCGTTAGGTTCTTTTTCGTAATGGGGAGGGAAAAAAGCGATAGTTCGACGAGATCAGAGGTCACAGATATAGACATGCTCCCTTCGAAAACGAGTTCAAATACGAAGATCATTGTGTTCCTTCAATTCTTCATGCACGTTCAAACTAATTTATTCGAGATAAGAGGATGGATGTTTCTCTTACAATTAAAGTGCACGAGAGAAATATTTAATTATGGTCTTTAAGTGAAAAAAAAACGCAGGTGCAATACTTTATTTTCAATTACACCGAGTCAATTAAAAAAAGACTTGTTGATAGTCTTGACTCAGTGTATTTGAACGGAGAAAAGTATTTTCAAATACACTGAATCAATACTATTAACAAGACTTTTTTTTATTGACACAGTGTATTTGAAAATAATTTGTTTAGTTCAAACACACTGAGTCAAGACTATTAACAAGTCTTTTTTTAATTGACGCAATGTATTTGAACTAAAAAAATTATTTTAAAATACACCGAATCAAGACTATTAACAAGTCTTTTTGTAATTGACTCAGTATATTTGAAAATAATTTTTTTAGTTCAAATACACTGAGTCAAGACTATTAACAAGTCTTTTTTTAATTGACTCAGTGTATTTGAAAATAAAGTATTCCACTACACTACTATATTTTCAAATACACTGAGTCAAGGCCATTGACAAGTCTTTTTTTAATTGACTCAGTATATTTGAAAATAATTTTTTTTAGTTCAATTACACTGTGTCACGACTAGTAACAAGTCTTTTTTTAATTGACGCAATATAATTGAACTAAAAAAAATTATTTTCAAATACACTGTATTAGGACTATTAACAAGTCTTTTCGTAATTGACTCAGTGTATTTGAACTAAAAAAAATTATTTCCAAATACACTGAGTCAAGACTATTAGCAAGTCCTTTGTTATTGACTCAGTGTATTTGAAAATAATTTTTTTAGTTCAAATACACTGAGTCAAGACTGTTAACAAATCTTTTTTTAATTGACTCAGTGAATTTGAAAATAAAGTAGTATGGTGGAATACTTTCAGCTGAAATACGACTCAGTGTATTTGAAAATAATTTTTTCAGTTCAAATACACTGAGTCAAGACTGTTAACAAGTCTTTTTTTAATTGACTCAGTGTATTTGAAAATAAAGTATTCCACTATACTACTATATTTTCAAATACACTGAGTCAAGGCCATTGACAAGTCTTTTTTTAATTGACGCAGTATATTTGAAAATAATTTTTTTTAGTTAAAATACACTGTGTCACGACTAGTAACAAGTCTTTTTTTAATTGACGCAATATAATTGAACTAAAAAAAATTATATTCAAATACACTGTATTAGGACTATTAACAAGTCTTTTCGTAATTGACTCAGTGTATTTGAACTAAAAAAAATTATTTTCAAATACACTGAGTCAAGACTATTAGCAAGTCCTTTGTTATTGACTCAGTGTATTTGAAAATAATTTTTTTAGTTCAAATACACTGAGTCAAGACTGTTAACAAATCTTTTTTTAATTGACTCAGTGAATTTGAAAATAAAGTAGTATGGTGGAATACTTTCAGCTGAAATACGACTCAGTGTATTTGAAAATAATTTTTTCAGTTCTTATACACTGAGTCAAGACTGTTAACAAGTCTTTTTTTAATTGACTCAGTGTATTTGAAAATGAAGTATTCAACTATACTACTGTATTTTCAAATACACTGAGTCAAGGCCATTGACAAGTCTTTTTTTAATTGACTCAGTATATTTGAAAATAATTTTTTTTAGTTCAAATACACTGTGTCAAGACTAGTAACAAGTCTTTTTTTAATTGACGCAATATAATTGAACTAAAAAAAATTATTTTCAAATACACTGTATTAGGACTATTAACAAGTCTTTTCGTAATTGACTCAGTGTATTTGAACTAAAAAAAATTATTTTCAAATACACTGAGTCAAGACTATTAGCAAGTCCTTTGTTATTGACTCAGTGCATTTGAAAATAATTTTTTTAGTTCAAATACACTGAGTCAAGACTGTTAACAAATCTTTTTTTAATTGACTCAGTGAATTTGAAAATAAAGTAGTATGGTGGAATACTTTCAGCTGAAATACGACTCAGTGTATTTGAAAATAATTTTTTCAGTTCTTATACACTGAGTCAAGACTGTTAACAAGTCTTTTTTTAATTGACTCAGTGTATTTGAAAATAAAGTATTCCACTACACTACTATATTTTCAAATACACTGAGTCAAGGCCATTGACAAGTCTTTTTTTAATTGACTCAGTATATTTGAAAATAATTTTTTTTAGTTCAAATACACTGTGTCACGACTAGTAACAAGTCTTTTTTTAATTGACGCAATATAATTGAACTAAAAAAAATTATATTCAAATACACTGTATTAGGACTATTAACAAGTCTTTTCGTAATTGGCTCAGTGAATTTGAACTAAAAAAAATTATTTTCAAATACACTGAGTCAAGACTACTAGCAAGTCCTTTGTTATTGACTCAGTGTATTTGAAAATAATTTTTTTAGTTCAAATACACTGAGTCAAGACTGTTAACAAATCTTTTTTTAATTGACTCAGTGAATTTGAAAATAAAGTAGTATGGTGGAATACTTTCAGCTGAAATACGACTCAGTGTATTTGAAAATAATTTTTTTAGTTAAAAACCGTAATTAAATATTCCTTTTGTATAAGTCTTTTGCAAGATTTTTACAAGACTATGAACAAGTCTTTTATTAATTGAGTTAGTGTATTTGAAAATAATTTTATTAGTTAAAAACCGTAATTAAATATTCCTTTTGTAAAAGTTCTTTTCAAAGATTTTTAGCAAAACTATTAGCAAGTCTTTTATATATATATATTAATAACAAGTAAAAATTTGTTAACCACATTGCTTAGAACTCCTATCGATTTATTTCCCCATGAAGTATTTATATGTATACTCTAATGGGGATTACCCCTGCAATAAATTATTATTATCATAAAAATTAAAGCATTGTTTCCTATTAAAGATCAGAGTTACTTACTGTTTCGTGAAACTACCAAAAACAGTATATTTGAAAGGGGACAATTACATAAAAAATATAATTGTTTCGTTGTTACGAACGAAAATAAAAAATGTTATGCTGTGAATAAAAAATTCCACTATATTTAGGAACGTAACGTTTGCTCAGATATTTGTTTTATTATTACGAGGAAGGAGTATTCCAAAAGGAATAAAGATACGCCCACAGTTCATTTAAACGTTCTCTATGACGTTCGTTTCCTTGCAACAAAGTGCCGCACTATAAACTTACAAACATTAATACAGTTTTACAACGAACCTTGACTCTATATCGCTAATATACTAGTCGTTACTGCCCGTAGCTTTATTTAACGTCTATCTCAACCGCCTTGACTTGAAATTTTCCAAATCGAATGCAGGTTTTGCTCCTCAAATTTAACTTTCTGCGAATCAAATTTCTCTAGAAGAATCATTTACTTAAGCTTCTTTAATAAAAATAAAATAAAATTTAAATCTATCGTACATGAATTATTTATTTAATAGCAATTATCAATTCGTTATACAGGGTGTACGGTCAACCCTGGGAAAAATTTTAATGCGGGATTCAAGAGGCCAAAATAAGACGAAAATAAAGAATACCAATTTGTTGATGGAAGCTTCGTTAAAAAGTTATTAACAATTAAATTCAAACATTTCAAATCATTCTGGAAAAATTATTTTCAGTTGTGGGGGTCAATTATAATCATTTTTGGTGAATACACATACCCCCGAAATCCTGAGCATTCTCGAAAAAAAAATTCGAGAAGGTACTGAAATTTTTAGACGAATTTAAAAAATTACAAATCAAACTAAAAAAATTATATTTAGTTACAGGGGCCAATTACAAGCATTTTTGGTGAATAGACATACCCTCGAAATCTTACCCATTTTTGAGCAAAAAATTCTTTACCATAAATCTATTGTAAGACCAGAAAAATCCCCTAAAACTAGTCCAATTTTCAAACGGCCATAACTCTTGCAATAATAAAGGTAGCTTATTGAAATTTTTTCCTGAAACAGAGCCCATGAGTACCTACAAAAGAGTATTAAACAACTTTTCTGTAGAGCGTCAAACAAATTTATTAAAAATGAAAAACAAATTAAGAAAACTTGACAGGGGGTAGTCCCCTTTTCAGCGAAAAATAAATTTCGAATCGTTTTGGAAAAATTATTTTCGGTTGCGGGGGTTAATTACAATAATTTTTGGCCAATAGACATACCCCCGAAATCCTACCCATTTTTGAGAAAGAAAATTCTTTACCAAAAATCTATTGTGAGACCAGAAAAATCCCCTAAAACTAGTCCAATTTTCAAACGGCCATAACTCCTATAATAGCAAAGATATCTTATTGAAATTTTTTCCTGAAACAGAGCCCATGAGTACCTACAAAAGAGTATTAAACAACTTTGCTGTAGAGCGTCAAACAAATTTATTAAAAATGAAAAACAAATTAAGAAAACTTGACAAGGGGTAGTCTCCCTTTTCAGCGAAAAAAAAATTTCGAATCGTTTTGGAAAAATTATTTTCGGTTACAGGGGTCGATTACAATAATTTTTGGCCAATAGACATACCCCCGAAATCCTACCCATTTTTGAGAAAGAAAATTCTTTACCAAAAATCTATTGTGAGACCAGAAAAATCCCCTAAAACTAGTCCAATTTTCAAACGGCCATAACTCCTATAATAGCAAAGATATCTTATTGAAATTTTTTCCTGAAACAGAGCCCATAAGTACCTACAAAAGAGTATTAAACAACTTTGCTGTAGAGCGTCAAACAAATTTATTAAAAATGAAAA